ACTATTGGACTGAGTGTTGGCCGGGCAAAATGTCAATTTTCAAGACTATACACAATGAAACTGATATGATTATCATGAGTACATCTACTACCCACATCGAAAAAAATTATAACTGAAAAAAGTTGAGATTTGAATGTAATGATTACTTACATAACAGAGCGTATTAATAAACTGTTTAAGTTAACAGGACTTTCATACATATTAGTTGAGTAAGGAAAAGCGGTGCTCGACGCGTCTTAGGTAGGTAATTTATTGTAATCAAATTTATGAACAAACTTTTAACTACGTAATTTTTATATAATAAAAACATATTTGTGTTTGATAAATTCGATAACGATTAATGATATTTCACTTTAATAAACAGTTATCGAAAAATATGCGAGTTGCCGTTTCCGTTGTTCTTTTTAATCAAATTGATTTATAGATAGTGAGTGACTAACAAAGAGAGACTATGACGTGACGGTAATATACAGTAAAATCAAAGTCTGTTCGAATATCATGCACATTTCAAAAAGCCACTGTAATCAAATTTTATATTATTCAGGGAAAAAATCAGCGCAAGTAGTTCGGGTAGTATAGTAGTAGTTACGAATTCTTAGCCTTCTCTTTGTTTATCCTATGCTTGAATATTTGTTTAACCAATATTGTGATAACAAATAAATACATGGTTGCCGAAAAGAATAGTTTATGATTAGTGCAACTCGATTGAGCTTTGAAATTCAACACTTTGATCTCAACAACAGACACCAGCAAAGAAAATGTTCAAATGTCGGATACTCAGTAATCCATAATATTCAAGCAACCAGATATCTGATTGAGTAAATTTGTTTAGTGAGTTCATACGACTGACGAATAAACAAGCAAATTGCCAAGACGCGTTACTCGACAACATGGAAAAGTTGCTGGTTAGTGAAACATTGCGACGACGATGAGTGATGAGAATATAGAATGATGTACAACAGTCACAATAAGTGTGTGCGATGTGACACATAAAGATCTGAGACATCGCTCAGATTGCAAGTTTTTTGTTCAGACAATGTCGTTAGTTTCAGCAGCCAATGACTTAGCTATTGACAACATAATTCAATTCTCCTTAAAACTGAAATGGATACCACTTTCGGAAACTGCTGATATAACACCAAGTTTAATAGATAACGTATACTACGCCCAAATTGATGCTTCTGATTTTGACGTTTATTACGAGGAGGATGACGATGATGATGGTGCGGGGAGGTTAATAATAGGAAGTTATAGTGATGATGGTGATTTGACAATGATGACGACGACGATGTTGGCCATGAGCTAGAAATACGTTGTTAGAGAGTGCAAAATTTTTTTCCTTACTTAATAAAAGACTGTTTGACAGTAATCTACTCCCATAAAAAGTACTTTTCAGAGTCAAGCAATAATACTCTTTAAACTCGTATCGTGCTAACCGACTGCGCGATAATTTTTGGCAAGAGAGTGAATAGATAAAGCAGATATTCAAATAAAAATCGCTTTGTAAAATCCCGCAAATTTTACGGATTCTCAAATTCTGTACTTGTAAAATGTAACCAAGTCAAAATTGATCACGCTTGCAGAAAGTTTCCAACCATACTAGTACACTTTATTTAACAAAACAAGTAAATTTATACAAAAACCTGCGCTTTACACGTATTAGTAATCGTCATTAGAATAAAGAAATTTTTCTAAAATTTAGCATTTATCTGATTTAAGCGAGGAACTATTCGCACTTGGGGTAGCATTCTTGTCTGGGATGAGATAATATTGGCAAATGTTCAAACGAAATAGTGCTGTTCAGAACGATAAGTTGATAAACATATGGGACTATAGTATTGTTAGAACTGGTAGATCGCCAAACTACAAGCGGCAATAAAGAACCAAAAATCTTGATGAAAATGTGTGAGTAAAAAAACTTTACATTATGGTTTCTACAGTAGAATTGCGAAAAGAAACCATTATTGAGCGATACAAATAGAAGAGTGGACAGAATGGTGCAAAAACCTGAAAATGTTGGAGATAAGAAAGGCAATTTTCAATGATGAGTCAGGGGTTTCCGCTATTTAAACACAATTGACATAAGCTATGCCTGGAAAAGAGAAGGAACAAATACAAAGCAATGTAAGTTTACTCCCATTATTTGCTCCCAGCAGGGCTCGAACCTGCGACCTTGGCGTTATTAGCACCACGCTCTAACCAACTGAGCTATGGGAGCCCGATGTGAAAGCCAAAAATATAATAAATCTATAAACAGTAGCTCAAATTGGTATGGTCGAACTCAAACTTATAATAGACAATTTTTTCTGAATGTGCTTAAAAAACTGACTAACAAATGTACTAGTGTAAATTTTATTAAAACCTGTATGCTGACAACAATTGTCAATTTCGAAATCTTCACCGCGTAATGTAAATTTCATATTCTTTGGTCTTATCAAGTAATCTTTTCGATTTAACCTCTTCTTTAAAGACATGTAATTATTCGTCTCTGATAGCAAATGCGAGAACCAAAAAAACCGACCCACTAGCGTGGTGATGAGTCTGGACGTTGCGTTTGTAGTGTCGGTGATTTAAAAAATAAAATAATTATTTTTTTTCGTAACTAGTTAGGGAACTTTGATCTCTGATAGGGGACGCAACCAGGCCACCCACTTTGTGGTTATTGGAATAAATCGCGCTCTTTAAAATTATATATTATACATTGTTATACGCTACTTTTTATGTTATGTTACTATTTCACGATTTTGTTTTCTGTTCTTGCTTTTCTGTACATCTGAAAAATGTGAGGTCATGTCAGGAGAGTATACATCTGCGTCATTGTGTGTTATTGTAAATTGTACGAACGTTAACGTGTGGATATTAGCTTCGAGATAATAATCTCAAATATTTAAAGCGAAGATAGTATCATTTATTTTCGAATTGAACAAAATTGCAACACAGTTGTTGTTCAAATAAAATGAGTGCATGCAAAGGTCATAATACATTTATCAGCCATTGAATTGCTAAAGTTAAATTGTGGCTCAAGTAACAAACATTAACGCGTGAGTAAAAAACTCTGTTGGTGCTAATTGCAGAAAACAGTCGTTAAGATATACTAATAAAAATGTTACTGTGACAATTTGCTTCAGTATTTGAGCGTTTAAATGGTACAACGTTTGAAAACAAAATTAAGCTAAGAAAAAAACAAGAACGTTTTTTTTATTGTGAGACTTTTTCTTACTTATAAAAAACTTACAAAAAAAAACGTAATGAGATTATCGGGCTTAGAAGTACAGTGCCGATTCCAAATACTCTAAAATTCAAAAATTGTACTGTTTATAGCATTATTAACGCTTATAAGACTGGTGAAACTAAAACACCTCCACGCTGTGGGCGGACGCCTCCTAATTACTAAACGCAACACATGACTTATTGTTCGTTATTAAAGGCAGATAGAAAAGTTTTCCTAAATAATTAACTAACGAGCTATTGAGCCAACGTACTATGCTGCATAAAAAAGAGGTTTATGGCGAGAGAAAAACGTTCGTTAACAAAGCAAATCGTAAAATACGTTTCGAGAAAAATTTAAACAGAAAAATAAGTGGAGTGAAAAAGTTATCATATGAGCGACGAATTCCAGTTTAAAGTATTTGGGTCATTAAATCGGGGCTCCTGGTTGGAGTCAACGGTAAACTAATTGCATATGATACATTAAATAACAATTTCAGACAGTGATTATTTAAGCGGAGAAATAGCAAATTACAAAAAACGAACCAATTATTGATAAAAAAAACGGGAAAACGCCTATTACTTTCAAAAATATTATTTTCAGTCTTAAAAATTTAGCTTCTGCTCCTGAATCCTTTCTTGCTGGTATTTTATTCCAAAATACTATAAAAAGTTTAATCAATTACTCCTTATATAATCCAGTTGACTATTTAAAAGCTACTTTATTAGGATGATTGGACAATCAGCATAATGGCGTTGAATTTCGGAGAATAACTTCCCTGGCACGCGCAAAGCCTGACTCGAGAATACATTAGAGTATCGTATTCCTAAACGTATTCTCTACCAAATAATAAACTGAGCTGTCAATTTGTTGCAAGAGAATAGTCTAACATAGTTGAATTTGTTTATAAAAATTTAGTTAAAAATATGAAACTTCGTGTGCTCAGGCTGTAGTTAAAGCTAAAGACATCTTACATGTATTAATAAAGTTCATTGTCAAAAAAAAAATTACGCGTTCCTGTATTGTGAAAAAGTTTCGTAATTTATGTCAGCCAGGTGTCTTGCGTTGTCATAAAATAGACCACACGCGCATTAAATGTAAACATGGAGCGTTGGAAAAAGCTGTTATCGCACGTAAAATTGTGCATTTCAACGTATTTAGACTTTAACTTTTTATATTTATTACAAAATGCTTCATAAAGTTACGAGCTCGACACAAATAGTTATGTTCTATTCTGAGTAAACTGCTACTGGCGTATACCCGATTATTTGGATAAATTTCTCTTGGTTGCTTGAATTCTGCCAGTGCGCTCTCCATAGTAACTGAATTAATCAGATTCGCGCAAATTTAAAAAAGCTAAAAATTTCATTTACAAGACAATTTTTATACAGCCATTCACGTTGTTGATAGTTCGTTTATTAAAATAGTGTTGACGTATCGTACATGAGAAAGTGAAGGTTACTCTACATTTAGCTAAGTCAACAAAACAGTTGCAATAGTGGCAGAGAAAAGGCTCACAAATTAAACTTAATTGCTCTCGTCACTTGACTAATGTGCTTATCAAGTAGTATATTGATTTGGCATACCACTTTCATTATGTAACGAATGATTACGCAACCAATACCTTTCCTTACTGGTGGCTTGTCTTTTCAAACTATCTGCGTTATTTGTATTTTATTATCTGTATTATCCGAAAAGCAAAAGTATATAACAAAATGGATAGTAATGACCGAAGTTTAACAATAACCCCCCCCCAATCTATATCCCCCTACTATCTCGGGTTGTGTCTCGATTAGTCACTCGATTCGGCTCCCGATTCGTTACCCCTTGTTTGTAACCGCTCATTCATCAACCCATCGTCATTACTTTCGCTCGCACATTTCGCACTTCTCCTCATTCCGAAACGCTTCAACACTACACATCTCTACATTGAATGCATAACTTTCGGGTCGGCAATAACAACTCGATTCACTCATTCCGAATTCACGCCCGCAGCGCTTTGTTTCTTACACGAGATATATTGCCATCCCAAGATAGACTGTTCTTCGATACGCGGTTCATCCTCTTTGATATTCACCATCGTCTCGTCACCCTATAGGATTATGAGATCTGGTTTGAGGATTACCACTGCTGGTCCTCTAGTATCGTTGAATGCTTTTGGCGTAAAACCGGAAATAGAACCGCACAAAAAAGCTCAACGTGTTTCCATGTGATAAGGTTAGAATCAATAATCGGTGCGTGGAGGAAGAAGTTTTAGCGATAAAGGACCGCTAGAGATGAATTGCATTTTTGGCATGGCTTGATACAACTCCCTCTAGAGAATCTCTTAACTTAATTATGGAAGTTTCGGGGGCGGATGGTATCCACTCTTATTGCTTTAATGTGATCCAAAACCCGAAAGTCTTCATTTACTCATTTGTTTGGAGCAGTCGAAGTCTCGTTCATTCTATTTTCCGACGTCAGGATGGATCGACCGATTCCATGGTTCGCATTCTTGTGAGAAAACGTGCATTTGAATTGGTTGATTTGCATTCTGCCTGCCCGCTGAACTTCTCTTCCGGCTTCTAATTTACAAACAACAAATTAGAACAAATTATTGCTCGAAGCTCAACGAAAATATGATGGATTTGATAGAGTAAAATGAATCAAATATTATCTGTAATAAAAATTCGCTTTCCCACTTACCCTAATCTATCCCATCGCGACTCACTTTTTCCTCCTCCAGAAATTGATAGAGCAGCGTGACAATAGGCTAACGTACACGAGAATTACATGTTCTTCGTCCTTTACTCAACCGTCACCATCCTTTTTCCTGCGTTTCGACCTCTTCGACAGCGACAAATGTTGCCTCCACCCAGTCAATCATACCAATTACTTTTCACAATACATCCCCAAAATTGCCAACTGTATCATAAGCGATATCCCAATGTCCTCTACTGCAGTACTAATGGGAATTGGTAATAACCAGCCCAAAGTAACAGATCGACCATAATCATAATCCAAGAGTTCACCGAAAAAATTCAAGACCAGCCGCATCATGCAATAGAAATAATGGCCAGAGAAGGTAGTAATTAAATACCCAAGAAAGCCAAAAATAAAGCCGTATTCACGCAAGATCCGTCTTTGTGCGCAGTTTTAAGAAAACGACATAGCATCCGTAAAAGAAATCGTCAATAGGTGATAAGACATGACCAACTATTTTGGAACGCAGTGCAGCCGGCTCGAACGAGTGGTCGTCGTCTGATCCGTCCACTGACGAGATTCAATAATCCAGGATTAAGCTATAAAAGCAAAGTGTAAAGTGAAAGTGGATAATGTAAACTAATGTTTTGGGACAAAGACAACGCAAAAAGAAGAAATAAATTTAGAACTGATGTTCCGAGTAATGCTGTCTCCATTTACCTCATTAAAATTCGGAAAGCATAACCTCTCAACGCCGAGGAATGACCGATACAGAGCAAAAAAAGGCCTGTCGAAGAAAAAAAGAGGATATTCGTAATTGAAAGGTATCAACACATTAGCGTTCTTTCTGACTCGTCAGTCCTGGTCAACTTCACCCCCGAAATACAGTTTGTAATTCTACCTGACGTTAACGCCAAAATCGTACAGCTTGCGATTATCGTATATGTTAATGATTCATTAATACTTCAGTCCCTGATTAAGAACGGTAGAGTCAGATTCTTCAAGAAGTATTCGCACTAAAATTACTCCTTGATTTTAACTTACTGACAAAACCACAGTAAACGTAACGTTGAGCTATAGGCTCGGTAGTCTAGCGCATAGGTAATCTCTATCCCGCACATATGATTACGTCAATGCTAGCCCGCATTTGGTAAGGCCGCTTCTCTCGCGCTCGAGTGGTTTCTGCTGACTTTGTATCGACATTAATACATCAAAAGGATCGAGAAATGTTTGTCCTTGTAATAGCAAGCGGGCGTTGTCATCTATAATGGGATGGGTGCTGACAAAAATACAGTACACGAGTACGACGCGGGAAAGGATAACGGCCTAGTTATTGGTAAAAAAAAAAAGCTTACGACTGCATGTAAATCATGGTTGGACTGCATTATACTAGAATGAAAAAAATAAAGACGTTTTGAAGGCCTTCTTCAAATACCTTGGTTCAACACATTCGTCGAGAACGAGGCTATGTCGGTCTGCGTTATTTGCAACACGTCAATGGCAAGTTCGGAAGTTCATTGTGTGCATGTGACTATAGCTAACATCGACATGTGCATCACATCCATCTTACCATAATTGACCGTCTACAAATATGCTGTACGACTATAATATATAAGTGTAACGATAGGAGTATGTGGATGCCGTAGCAAAAAAAGATCGTTTCGCACGATGGCATATGAGGTATAAGAGAAAGACATAATAATTAGATAGAATACACTATTTGTTTGTTTATTAACTTTACATGTTACTTTGCAGAAAACTGAAAACTCAATTCCCTCTACAGCTGACTCGATGAGTTCTAGCTCAACAACCGGCGGCTATGTATCAGACAACTTTCTCACAAGTGCTCCTAGCACTAGGGCTCCTTCAATGACGCCTTCTGCATCAACGCCAAGCAACTCTGCAACTCAAAACGGTTTTCCAAAACTTATACTTCAATTAATGGAAAGAGGGCTTATGTCAGCTGATGAGCAAATAAAAGAATTGTTGACAGAGCTGAAATATCCTCAGAATATTTACGCACTCAAATACATTCTCGAACATAAAGGAGATTCTGTATCAATGGAAATGTTAGATACTGCTTTGGAAAGTCTGTGCGCCCAACGATTTGATAATGTTTTTTCAGAAGAAACGACTATTAAATTGGAATGGCGATTACGTATTACTATTACTATACTGGAACTGATGTGTCAAAAAAATTGTCAATTTACATGTCAATTTCTTGATAATGTTAGACAAGCTACTTCTATGTATAAGAACATACATTCAAAGATTATGCAGCATGGGGGAGAAACTTGGAAACCAAAATATGCAGAATCTAATGAATCAGACAAAATTATCAAAAGCTTTAAATACAATTATGATTGCCAATATCTTCTCAAAATCATTAAGAATACATTAAATGCTGTTTCTGACGAGAAGAACCAGTACCAACCAATCATTAATCGAGCCATTGCAGCATTAAAGGGTTTACTTGTTGCTGTTCCTGGATTAGCTAAAGTTGGAATTAAATCTTATACAGGATTTGATGTCCCTCTTGGTGACTTTGACTTGGAAAGGTCATGGAAGTATCTAGCAGAAGCCTTTCATGTTGAATCATCTGGCAAGCCATGGTATGCAACCTGGAAACAAGTTGTTATGTTACAAGATTGTCTTGGCAAATGGTGTGAACAAGAGTCTGCCATTTCAGTGAGCTTTAAAGAAAGAGTGCTTCTTGAGTATCTCTGGTATCACATCAGTTTATGCTATGCTGAAAATGCAGTGGAGAATCAGGATGTCAGTGATGAACTCTGGTTTGGTATTTTGGATATCATCCAGCAACTTGTACAGAAAACATTTTCTTCAACTACTCAAGCTATTTGTTATTACATAGCATTAGACTCATTGAATAATGCTGTCACTGAATTTATTCAATTCAAATCCATTGAAGTGTTATTGAGTCTTGAAGTCAGGAATAATAAATTGTTTGTTACAACACCTGATGACATAGCTGGTTGTGATGAGAAATATATACCAAAGATAGTTAGCATGTACTATTACTTGAAAGGAAAGTTAGAAGTTGAATCAAAAATGATTCTAAAATATTCACCAGATCCAATAACAACAAGTGCTCAAACTATGGAACTGCAAGACAAAGGAAATAGAAAAGGAAAAGGAAAAAGTGTTGAGAAAAGTCTAATTGATTATATTGCAGAAGATCTAACATGTGCTATTACTTGTGAAACAGTTGGAGATTTTTACCAGCTTAATTGTCAACATATTATTAGTTCAAAAGCGCTTTTGTCATTAAACAATCTGGAATGTCCTTACTGCAGAAGTGAAATTGAAAAAAATTATGTGTATTATTTACCACAACAGACAATATACAATAATGTTCAGTGTTATATTACAGACACTGATGATCAATACATTTACAATGATAATTCTGGTAACAATATGAATATAAAAGTATTTGATGAGTGTGATGATCTTAAGAAACAAAAAGGGAAGAACAGAGCAAGAAAGTCTGGTTCTGAATCTACATTGACTTCAATTTGGAAATCATTGACTACACCAAATATAGACAAATTGTTTCAAAATGCTACAGTTGCATATATGAATAATAAGCTGGAAAAGGCTTTAAATATCTATGCACAAATATTACAAGTTGATCTCATAAATTATCAATCACTGTGTAATGGAGCAATGGTAAAGATAAAATTGAAAAATTTTGGAAAAGCACTACTTGATATTGAGACAGCAATTGAAGTAAACAAAGTTTATTATGATGCCTGGTATTTAAGTTTGATGGCACATTTAGGTTTGGGAAATAAATGGGGGGCTAGACAAGATATTAGAAATATTAGGCGTCTATCCAATCAAAGAGAGGCATTTGATGTTATTAAGGAATATGTAAACAAACTTGAGCACTTTGATGTGGAATGGTTTAAAATTCTTGTGGATAGTTGTCCTCGTAAAGCATTGTATGCATTAGGTGATATTAATCTATGGCAATCGCTATGTAACCATCTGTATGGAACAGATGATTACACCAGATGGTACAACACTGCTGCATCTTGGTATAAGGAGTATAACAATACGTGGCATGATGACACACATATAAGCGCGTTTTTTGAAAAAGTATATTATTATGCATACTAATTACTATTACTATTAGGTCATTTGAAAGCACATTTCGCATATGAAAGTCATGTTGATGATAGGAGTGGAAGCAAAAAGTAAGCAGTTTAAAATAACTATTTGGTTATATTTTATTATTACTAACGGCTATCATTTTGTAGTTACTATACTTCTTTGTACCTTTATCCAAATAATAAAGTAAGTGTATTAGTATAATAATTATTATTATCAACGTTTGTATATGTTGTGAATATTATCGAATAAAGAATTATAATTAGGTAACAATACCAATATTCAAAGTACCTCCAAATAAATACAAACTCAGCATTTTGTTGAATTATTCGGATAAGTCAATTATGAATACAATTGTAGTAAGTATCAGTATAATATTGTCATTATTGTATGTATTAATATTAATTTATAAATATTTTGATTTGTAGGCAACAATAAAAACATCAACTGAAGAAATGCAACACAAGACGAACGTTAAACCTAACTCCGACCATGCTGAATATATTTTGCCATGTGTGGTTAATGTTTCGTCTGAAGACGATGTTATTATAGAACTTGCTAACAGTGTAAGTATTAACGTTAATATGGACATGTATTCAATTATTTCTAACTCGTAACATTATTTTAGTTATCCGTCTATCTTTGTTGGGTTTGTTTATATTCGGAAGAAAAGTTAGACGAAATGGAACATAAAAACTTGGAGATTGAAACATTTCCAACTACTGGTGTCAAAATGATTAGTTATAAGCAATTAGTTTGTCCTACAAAGAAATATGCCATATACTAATTAATACGAATATTGTATCATCTATCATCATGCGTATTGTACATAATAATATTATTAAATATTAAATTATGTCTATTGCCGTTTTGAGGTTATCGAATAGCGATAGTATACAATTAACAAGGGGTTAACATTACACGTAATAGTTATCACAATATTAATATTAGACGAATATGTTATCAACACAATAAACATTACACAAAGATCATTATTCCCGTGTTATAAGAAAAACGTTGATTCTTATATCAGGCGTCAACTTTCTTTGTTTAATGCAACTGTCTCACACCAGAAATTTTTTATATCCGACTTTTTTATTATTGGAAATCATAATGAAGCCACTGTACTTCTCGCTGTCTCTTGATTAGACTCCTGACTCGTTACTATACTTTCTTATTCGAAAAATATTGGCAATGCATAACATTTAGCCGACAATAACAACTTGTTCTTCGCATCCAGGCCGCAGTCTTTATGTCACTCACACGCGACATCCTACCAATTCAAAAATTATCAGACAATTTGAACAAGAAACTGTCCATGTTAGTCTAATATTCATCGTCACGTTCGCCCATATCCATCGACGTTGCGTCGTCGTTGACATGGGATGATTATCATAGGTGATGTTTTCGGTGGTGCAAAGCCAGAGACGTTTACAATAAGTTACAGATCCCCTACAGAAAGCGATATCAAGCCATTCTCAAAAGACGATTGATCCTCAACAGTTTATTATTTACAAATGTCCATATACCGGTATATGTAAAAAGCACCCTAAATATAATGCGCAGTATTATTAGGTAGTAAAATACAGAAATGAGTTGTCAAGCGCATGTTGTGGCTAATAAAGAACATAAAAAGCCGGTATCGATCAGGGCAAGACTACCTTAAACAGAAACTCTTATCAATAGTAAACGCCGTTTAACTGTAATCTCAAAGTCTGTTCATTTGTACTTTGCACCACAAAATAACATAGACTGCCTCTCATCCGTCACCAAACCGTTAGCCCAAAAACGGATATTGAGAGAGGGTGCTTTGTCGATTGTAAGACATCACCCGTCTTGAACAAAATCGCCGCCGTATCGTCCCTCTGAACGGTATTAGCCGAGTTTGCCGAGAATACGGAATAAGTTTGACCTAGCCCACGATTCCCGCTATCGTGTTTGATTAATTC